TTTGAGGTTAATTCTCTGCTTCTGGGCTTTTTTTCCTCACTATGGGCTCATTTTTCACTGAACTTTAAAGTCCTGCAACTAAAAAAAATCTCTGTGTGTGCAATATGACACAGTTCTAATGCCATAAATAATAATAATAATAAAAAAAACAAAAGTTGCATGTCTTCGGTATTTGTCCACATGTGATACCAGTATTGTGAAAAAAAAACTACATTAAATGCATATTTCATGACATTTTCTACATTTTTAATTTACATTCACACAAACACCACTTCACAATTTTGTTCATTTTACTGCTAGCGGTGCAGTTTTCTTCTCTTCGACTCAAAAACACAACAATTTTCAAAAAGGGAAACTAAAAAAGAAAAAGTAGCTGCGCCAGTAAATAATTTCTTTTCCTCTGGGACTTTTATTATGAAAATCCAATACATAGCCCACTGTGAAAGAGAGAATAATCGTGATATCAGAAAAAAAAATGAGGTGGCGAACAGGAAACACACAGTCAATGTGAAGTGTTCGATAATGAGTAAACACTTGACCCGGCGAGCACAAGTGGACCGGCACTCGATACGCAGCGAAGAGAGAAATCATTCACCGTAATAGACGTGCAAAACGTGCAAAGAGTGTTTGTCTGGATGATTCTACTGGTTTATTGGTGAAATTATATTGAGAATTTGGCAATTAAGCTCCATAAAAACCGACAACAACAGCTTTAAAAAACACCCTAGAAGGAGCTCATCTATTGGAGGCCAACAGATGGGCGTGTCGGGTTTATCCACATCCTTCCCCATGTCATCCATCCAATCAGATTTGTTGGAAATTGTCTGTGTTTGTGTGTGTAGGAGTTTTGTATTTACAGTCACTTTGCAGTATTTTGGACGAAGCCACAGCAGTTAGAAAGCGAGCAGCCGGTTCACGCTGGCCGAGATAACTTTGTACTTTTTCCTTCACGTCTGAGATTAGCTGCGTTACCAAACCGCTCTGGAGGAAGCTCGGCGAGGCGAGGAGATTCAGCAGCTGGTGACTTTGATGAGTTTCATGAGTTTTTGGGCGAACGGCGTTCCAAAGGAATTCAATCTGCGCGTGTAGCTAAGAGCATTAACCGAGTGTGAAATTCATTGTGGCCGGCTTCATCCCCGCCAAAGCTGCTGCTGTTGCTGTTTCAACGCCTCTTCTTGCTGGACGTGGTGCAGATTGTTTAGCAGGATCTTCAGCACAGGAAGGTCGAAAAGAGCAAAATGTGCAACTGTTGAATGTCAGACACTAGATATAACATTTACTCGTGGATTAATCGTAGCAACTTGAGTTCCTTGAAGACGTTCCACCTCTCATCCAACAGGCTTCATCAGGTCTGACTGACTAGTTGGGAGTTCCAGATACTGATATCCTTAAGGAGCCATTAACACCTGAGGATACAGTATGATATGGATGTAGCATGTACTGTATAAAGGAGTTTGTTTGTTTGTGTGAGTGTAAAAGTTACTGTGTTCAACGCACTTTCATTTACAGTAAATGCTAAAAAAAGGTAATAAATAAGACTTCCTCTGGTTGCACTACAGCACTTCATATAAATGTTATTGAGTTTTTCTCAAAGCATTTCCTTTGTTATGTAATTCATAAAGAACGGAGGACGTCTCATTTTGGGAAACAAGCTGATTTTGGTCGATTGTTGGTTGTGAGAAAGACGTGCCATTTGATTCGCTCTGGAGTTACTGATGCTGGAAGTTTGAATCTTTGAATATCTTTTCAACTTTACTGAACTCTGAAAGTGGGATTAGTGGAAAAAATATAATGCGTGGAAACGAGACAGTAAGTCGTTACCTCAAGTTAATAACGCGAGGCAACGAGATAATTTAACTCATGGCCACAAAAATAATAAAGCATGGTAACGGGTTACTATCTCGGTACCACGTTTTTGTTTTTTTTGTTTTTTTCTCTATGGCCACTCAGGAGTTCCGTAAAAATGTGAAAGGAGCAAAAAAACAACAAAAAAACACTCAGAAACTGCTTGAGGTTCAAAGGATTAAGCTTAAAATATTTCAAAGCATGACGCTTTTACAGAATTTAATTTTCTGATATATAAACATGTTTTTAAATCCTATTTTGCTGCTGTATGCTGTATAAAGGCTGATATTGGCAACAAGCTATTCCTACAGCAGACCGTTTAATTACTGTACACTTTTAAAATTAAATTACACTCATTTAGCTACTGTTTTTTTCCCCACCAGGCAACCCCTAATACCCCTAATGCTGCAGGAAGAAATTCTTGTGGTTTATGTCTTTGTCACTGTGTCATACTGTACAGAGACATTCATGAGTTCTCTCTACTTCTGGTCACGGTTGTGCTGTTTCCATAAAGGTGCAGGATTTTATATTACAGTAAAAAAAAAAGAAAAAGAGATGAGTCCACAGTGAATAAAAATGTGACAGGAGAATAAAAAACACCCAGAAACTGCTCGGAGTTCAGAGGGTTAATGAGCCTTGGTGCTCAGTTATGTTACACTGCAGCCCGTCACACCGTGTGTGTGTGTGTGTGTGTGTGTCGTAATGCTGTGTGTTACTCTGAGCGTGTGTGTGACGGTGTGTATTTTTGGCATCTGTAAATCTAAATGATGTATGTTGGCCAGTGTTACAGTGCCGCGGGGCTTTTGTGCATGCGCTGAACGCATTAGCTGCCGTGTCTGTGTGGGAGTGTGAAATTCATTCCTGTGTGCTGCTGCCAACACTCCGGCTGCGCCATCATCACGGTCTGAATTAGCGCTGTTCATCTCCCGCTTCACAATGACTCATTCGAGCTGATTTCACAGCAATTATTTACAGTATTATGAGAAAACTGCAACAAATCGTCTGTAAAGATTAAGATTTCATTACTGTCTCATTCGCTTTGACGGCCTCTGATTAGTTAGAGTGTGTGTGCAGCGGCGCTCACCTATGTTGGGAGCGATCAGGGCCACGGGGTTGAGGTAGGTGAGCTTCATGTTCTGGGCCAGGTTCTGGGCGTACTGCTCCAGCAGATCCGTCAGCTCGGCCGGACCGCCGCCCGCCAGGTGGTTCTGACTCTGAGCCAGAGCCCGCCAGAGTCCAGAGGTGCCGGGGTCCAACAGAACGCTGCAGCCTCGCACGATGTTCTGCAAAAAAGGTGGAAAGTTAGTTAAAAAAAAAAAGGATCCATGAAGGGGTCTGCTTTCCAGGAGCTGTTTCTGTCCACCTCATGGACCACATGTGCTGGCAGTATAATCAGAAAAACATTTATGCATTCAAGACACTGGGAGAGAAAACACTAAGAAAACAGAAAAAAAGATCTTTTAGTCTACTCAAAAAACTGTAATTTGGACTTTTATTACACTGAAAACCAAACGTTTGAGCTCAATATTCCCTCCAGGGATGATCATTTACAATATTTAATACACATTTAATGCTCCTAATGCTGCCGTCAGCGTCTCTTTATTCCAGCGACGGTTCTAATCTCAGGGTTTTGGGACATAAAGCCCGCTGGTTTGCACACAGACCACCCGACAGATGACTGATTNAAAAAATGCATACCAAACAAGAACTCGGGTCTTAAGCAGTTAAACAGATAAAACAACGATTGTCACGTAAGACTTCAACATATTGTCAATAAACCAAACATTTCAGCTAAGACGCCTGTCAACACCTCATTGGTCCAAAACGCCCCTAAAACTAAATAAATACCAATCTGCTGTACACTATACGACACATACAGACAATACAGGTGGAGATTTTCTTCACATTTCTGCACAGAAATCCAACCAGAATGAAAACTGCAGAGTTCAAAACCTCAGTTTGTGCGTCTATTTCCTGTTTTGCTTCTCTTTCATATCACAGACCATCGATGCTATCTATACATACATCATGTTGATGCAGTTGGACACATAATCAGTGAGTTACTGGATTTTATTGAGTGTTTTGGGTCAACCAGGGCATCTATTACATCACATATTGACACATCTGCAAACATCCAGCTATTAACGGGACTCGGGCAGATCTTTAATATATCAGATATCAGCTTTCCTCAATTGTCACCGTTTCTGCAGAAACATGACGAGATCTGTTGTGTGTCAGCTTCTTTCCTTTGACTTTAATAAATACCTGCAGCATCCCAGAGCAGCAGAAACGATAAGTGCTTCTTTAAATTAAGAGCGACACGCGCATTTATGCGTGTGGCACAGCAGGTTTAACTCCATTAACACAGGATCTGACGGTAAATTAGGTCCTACGTTCTTCTGCACATCTGACAGGTCAGCTGTTCCACATAGATTTATAATGTGGAATTAAATCCTGTATAGATGAATCCTGAGCTACATCAGAGCTGTCAGGGCATTTTCTTTTATTAAGATAAGCATGTTATTATGCAGAAAAGTATATTTCAGAGTTATAATTACGTAATAGGACTGGAGTTAGCTTAAATAAACCTCTAAAGATTAGACCCTTGAATAAAGTGCAGATCATATCAGCCAGTTCATCAACAGTTACTTATTTAACAGCTAACCCCAATTTCAGCACGAATAATGGAAGAAGCGCTTCAATAAAAGCTTCAGGAACAGGAACGAACAACACCTACATGTGGAAAAACGTTCTGCAACACTAACGTACTTATCCAGTGAAAAGAGTCACTCTCTGTCTGTTATTATCCACATTCAGTTTCAGGGCCATCAAGGTTTTCCACTGGCCTTTCATTCCTTCCCCCATCTGATATTGTGAGAGTCTGTAAAAGCTTTTGTTGAGTTTCCACTGGAAGAACAGCAGCCTTAATCTGTTCTATGCCTTTATGCAGGGAGAGTAATCTCCTGACCTCGTGACCCACAAAGCAAACTGCTGTGAAGAGGTCAGACTGTTTCTATTGATAATGCTGAAGCCTCGTTAAAGAAATAATGATCCTTTCGTGCTAATCCTGCAGCACGGTGCTAAACGTTGTCTACATTTGGTATTTCTAAACAAGTGATTTTTGGTTATATATCATATTACAGAGCAATGTTTGAGAGTTGACCAAGAAATGTTATTCTTTTTAATCAGTCTGTTTGTAAATGAGCAGCCTACAAGCTGCCCAGCGGCCGGCCGTCAACTTTACGCAGACGATGCAGTCATTTATGCACCGGCACAGCCACCAAGGAGCACGGCAGAAAACCCAACTGGATGGATTCAGTAGCAGATGCAACATAATCAAAGCCACTTCTATGTGTTTCTGCATCAGAAAACAGGGCTCAGTGAAGACAGGAAATGAAGAAATAGAGGAGGGAAATTAAGTTCTTGTATAGGCTACAGCATCACCATCGACCTTAGACACCTTGTATCCAAACACAATCAAAAAAAATCTGAAATAATGAACAAAAATCCTGTCTGGTGGTAAAACTGGTGCATTCTGAAAGACAGAAACAATCTATCTGGTTTTGACAGCTTCACTCAGCTTAGTTTTTATAAATTAGTCTTCAAAGAAATCAAGTCTCAGTATGACTTTCTACATTTGAAGAGTTCATTTGCAAAAACAGATAACTCCATTTTTGTAGATTTTCAGAAAACATCTTTTTTTGTTGTTTGCTTGAGTTGATATCAATCGAACTGAAGTTGAGTGGATGTGACTCAGTAGAAATAGAGATAACTTAAGTTTGATTGATATTGTCTCAGCTAGACGATGGAGAAGTGGGTTTTCTGAAGGTTTGTGAAGATGGAGTTCTCGGTTTTTGCAAATGAACTCTTCATGCATCAAAGACAAAACAGCAACCAGCATCTTAAAAGAAGGAATTCAAAATTTCACATCATGTAAATCTGGAAAATTAGTTTTCTCTACAAAGGGTTGCAATTTGCAGACTCTACAACACATTGCCAACTATTATCTAATTAACTACAAACAGAAAATATGTCAGAACAAATGCAAAAGTCAGGTTAAAAACAAAAAGCTGTAGCTATTTGTAATCTAAACTTTTTTTGTCCAAAAACATCTAAATTAATGTATTTTGCATTTAAATATATCTGCATATCTGTAGCGTGTTGTGTTTTTCTAAGAATAAAAGCTGTATATTTTAATTGTACTGTGCAAATGTGTCGTCTCTTTAATCAAACTTTTATTTAAGCTGCTGAAAAGTTCCAGTTTCATAGCACAACTTATCACAGGCTTATCATATTAAATCATGTCCCAGAGAAGCTTTAATACGAACAATTCCACCTTTTAAACCTGAAATCTGTGTGGAACAGCTGAACTGAACTCACTATCAGATCCCGTGTTAATGAAGTTACAGCTGCGGCGCCGCGTGAATAAATGTGCACATCGCTCTCAATTTACAGGAGCATTCATCGTTTCTGCTGCTGCTGCCGGGCGTGAAACTGCAGGAATTTGTTAAAGTCAAAGGAAACAATCTGACGAACTGGACTTCAGGGGGTTTATTCGTGTTTCTGCAGAGCTCCATCCAGTGACACCCGAGCAACATCACGGCTTCAGACATTCATCTAACACGCTTCAGATCTGCCCGAGTCACATTAATGACCACACTGTTGCAGATGTGTTGTGCAATAGGACACAAGCTGGACACAAGCCAGGGTCGATCTACCCCTGCTGGGTGGCCTGGGTGGTGTTCAAAGACCTCAAACACCTGATGACCCCAGAAAAACGTCACTAATGATGTGTGCAGCTGCATCAACATGCTGCTCTGTGTGTTAGTAGACAGACAAGTGTAGGAGACAGCGTATGATACGAGGGAGAAGGAAAACAAGCAAAAGACATGAAAGCTGATTTGTGATCTGTGTGTCTGCAGCTTTCAATTTGGAACAATCTCTGTACAGAATCGTGGGGAAAAGCCTGAAACACTAAAAAACTGCTGCTAATTTTACTGCCTGTGTGCATCTTGTAATGTGCAACCACATGTTTTCTCTCCACGTTTAGTTTCTCTCAGTTACATTAGTTTCATGGGTACAACCAAGTGTGTAACTGGAAATGGGGGTGTCTCACACTCTTAAGTTTTACCCAATAACTGGAAAATCATTGGAAATAAAAAGGAATTAACACCAGACAGATTAATTTAAAGGGTTCATAAAAGCATAGTTAAACAATTTTACACTGTAAATTATGGAGTTCACACCCCCTTCAGAGAATGCATTGGTATGCTCCATAGGCACTGTGTATGTAAAAGGTCGACTATTTGAAGGTTGATGTAAAGTCTCTGTGCAGCAGTTTCATGCTTTGTACTGGAACTATGATAAAAAATAATTTAATTAAAATTATTATCAATTCTGTATCACTTTAAGCTTTTTGAAAGCTAACGTCACATCTAATTTAATCATAATAATAATAATAATAATAATTCATTTTATTTGTATAGAACTCAATGACGCTTCACAGGATGAAAGCAATAATCAACTAATACAAAAGTAGACAACACAGAAATACAGCAAGCAGATAAAAACAACACTAAATATCAAGATAAAGGCCGAGGTGGGAAAAGCAGAGCGGAACAGGTGAGTTTTAATTTAGATTTGAATATTACTGGGTCTGTGGTGTAACGAATATGTTGTGGGAGAGAGTTGGGGCGGCGACAGAGAAGGCCCTGTCCCCCCCAGGTTCAGTGCTTGGTCCTGGGAACGATCAGGAGGTTGGAATTAGCGGAGCGGAGGGAAGGGGTGTGGGGGTGGAACATGTCTCTGAGGTAAGACGGGGCCTGGTTATGGAGCGCTTTGTGGGTGAGTAGAAGGAGTTTGAGTTTGATGCGGTATGGGATGGGAAGCCAGTGAAGGTGTTGAAGGACAGGGGTGATGTGGTCTCAGGAACAGGTGTGGGTGAGGAGGCGGGCGGCAGAGTTTTGGATGTGCTGTAGTCTATTGAGGAGGTTTAATTTAAGAACTTCTTATACAAAAACGATCTACCTTAGAAATAGCACATTGCTAATATCATCAATATCAAATTAAACTCGATGAAGTCTTCTTACTACCTGAGAATTTGCACTCTGTGTTCTGCGGATAGCATTTTTTTTCTTTGTTTTCTGACATTTTGAGGTTAATTCTCTGCTTCTGGGCTTTTTTTCCTCACTATGGGCTCATTTTTCACTGAACTTTAAAGTCCTGCAACTAAAAAAAATCTCTGTNCATCTTATCTTTTAAAAAGTTGCTAAAACAGCAACAT